ACACATATGGTTGAGGCTACTCATCTCCAATTGAGGTGGATCTCTAACCCAAATTTTTTCTAAATTTTTTGCTTTTTCACAGTCAAAATCTCTATATTCTAGTGGTGGATGCTGGTTCTGTTGCTCAGAGAAACCAAGACCCCAATGCTTTATTAATCCATCTCTATCTTGAAGGTTTATTGCAATCTGCTTTGAAAATGGGAGTTGAAAAAGTGGGGGTAAAAGGTGAAGATGGATATGTTGGTGGTTTTTTCCATTTGTTTGACTGGAACTCAAAATCCCGTAAGAAATTATTTGCAACCAAGTCAGATTTGTCAGGTACATTTACAGTTTATATAGAATGTGAAGAAGTGTTTATGTCTCGTGAATTGCATTACTTGTATAAGAATTCATTGGTGTCTCCATTTTGTTTTTTGCTTTTGGTATCTTTTCTCTTCATCATTTGCAGAGTCTTTAAAACAGAGAAGAAAAGTAGATGGCAACTTGGCAATGAAGCAGCCTTATCTGGTGGGGGTATCACTATTACTATCCATTGTGCTCCCAATTATTATTATTATTTTTTATATATTTTGTTATGATTCCTTGTTTAATTCTTTCAGGTGGACGAAGATGAAATTGGAGTAGGGGAAAGTATTAGAGAAAGTAGTGATCATAGATATGCTTCATGTGTTATAGACGATGTAGTATGTGAAACAAGTGCCCCTAGTGTAGTTGCCAGGCTTATGGGATTAGATTCCTTGCCCTCTTCCAGTTTTCCTGATCCTTGTTCTACCCCATACTTTGACAGCCGATCTTTTCAACACACACAGTACTGGAGGACAAATCTCAATCATCAGATCCTATATTCTGGAAAGTTGCTCGAAACAGTTGAGGGTTCTTCTAGGAATTTCTTGGAGCCAAAGCCTCATAAGACCCTTAACAGGCCAATTGGAAAGTTTCAAACAGAAGTAATGCCTCCCAAATCAGCTAAATCAATTCCTGCGACACACCATAAACTTTTGTCCCCTATTAAGAGTCCAGCTTTTGTTCCAACAAATAATGCTGCTTATATAATGGAGGCTGCTGCGAGAATCATTGAACCTGGCCCCCAAGCTACTACAAAGGCTAAAACACCTCTGGTAGCGTCATCAACAGTATCATTGAGGGTTACAGGTCTTAAAGAAAAAGTGAAGGCTTCGCAAAAAGAACCTCTTGGGTCATCTTCACGGGCCTCCAGAGTTAGAAATCTAAAAGAAAAAAGAGAAATTTCTCATAGAACTAGCACGCTCTCTGAACCTTCTCAAAGGTCAGCTGAGTCTACTGCTGCCATGTATCTAAAGGGACAATCTTTTAACAAAAGTTGGAATGGATCTGTGGATACACCTCTCAGATCTCCTACTGAACTAGAAGAAGATTCTTCTTTGAAGTATAATGCGAAGTCTGTTTCGCTTGCAATCCAAGCAAAAGTGAATGTTCAAAGAAGAGAAGGCTTGAGTTTGAGTGGTGGCAAAATTTTGGTGGACCAGAATGAACATTTTGACATTAAAACCCACCAGCCTGTGAAGGCAAATGTTCAAAAAAGTTTTCATAAGAAATCCTCTGGTCAAGATGCTTCTGGGGTTCTCAGGCAGAATAATCTGAAACAGAATTGTTCATTTGATAAAGACAATCTATCATCAAAGCCATTGGTTTCCAATTCACAGAGTAGAAAAGTTCTGGCCGGGGATTCCACTTGTGGACGTCATAGAAGCTCTAGCAGTAAATCCATTGCAAAATCTAAAGTTAGATCCAAAAACTCATCCATACAGGTGACAGATAGTGAAAAGGAAGTTTTATATAGCCGTACAAACAATTTCCCTAGAAAGAAGAGGTCCACAGACAGGGACTGGAATGATAGAGTTGTTGATAAATTGTTCACTGACAAAACTCAGAACCCTGTTCAGTCTAATCCAGATAGTAATAAAAGCCATAGTTGGGCTGAAGAAGTAAAAAAGAAAGACATGGATGTAGTTTCTTTCACATTTACCACGCCATTGACAAGAAGCAATTCTGGTTTTGAGACATCTGAACAAGCTGGCCTTTCCTTGGATCACTATAATAAAGGAGTGTTGCTTGACATTGACAGTACAAGGTCTCCAATAGGATACAATGTGATTGGTGGTGATGCCTTAGGTATTCTTTTGGAACAGAAGTTGAGGGAATTAAAATATGGAGTTGAGACCTCGCGTGATGATTCATTCAAAGCAAGGCCACCTTTTATTTCTGCACCAAAATCAAAAGATCTTGCATCCAACCTTAATTCAGTTAACCTCATTCCACGGTTGCAAAAGAAGGAAGACCAAGACTTGTTATTGACAGATAAGTTATTCAGTAGCCATGAATCGCGCATTTCCTTCACTGATTCTCCAGAATTATCATCCAAACAGAGAATTTGGGTATGTAACAATTTTTAATTCTTGTTACCTATGATTATTATCTCCATTGAAGCATGCATGAACAATATCTGGACCCCGGTAGTTAAATTTCCGAACAATGAAAAAGTTAGGCTTGCTTACTTTGTGATGAAATTTGGCCCAAAGAAGGAAAAATAGAAGAGATTGATTAATTCCACATTTCCCAAGAAAAAAGGTTATACTTATAAGGGTAGTAACTAGTAACTCTCTGGTTTTGCTGTCTAGAGTGGTCGTAGTTGTTCTATTGTACTCGTATCAGTATTTTCTGTAGTTTCAAGACTGGTTCTAAGATACTATCGACATTAGTTACATCTTTGACTTGAACGAATTTCAAGTTTGATCAACCAATCTCTGCCACTGTGTCCTTCTTAATCACTTATTATAAGTGGTTAACTCCAGTCAGAAATGGCTAATTTTTACTCAGTTAATGTGAAACTGAACTTGGGTAGTTAAAATGGAATATGGTTGAAACTATACCAATTGCATTGTAGAATCACCCTAATGTTAATTGGTGGCATATATTCCCCTATACTTATCCCATTGAATGGTGAAAAACTAAACATATTTACAGGTTGATGAGATGGAGGAGTGTAAGAGCAATCCTATGGAAGCAGAGTTACTCAATTCCAGACAGCCAAGTCCGATCTCTGTTCTTGAGCCTTCTTTTTCAACTGAAAGCTGTGAATCTTCATTCAGCACAAATGCTGCTAGTGCAGAAGGTAAAAGCAGAAGGTAAGTGGAACACACTACGTTTATGCTTAAATATTGACGATGATTACCTCTTTCGAATTTAGTTTTTCTCATGATTTAGGAGTGCTAATCTTTACAATATCCACTTTCAGGAAGCAAGATGTGCTCATATGCTCAAGCTCAGAAAGTGTTCATCTTGGCTTGAATTACTCAAGGAAGCACCATCCTGCAGAAGCTGACAGAGAGTTGTCTGATTCAGCTTGTTCAGCATCAACTGGGACCATGCTAAAGAAGTTTGGAAGATCAAGTACATGGGAGTTAGACTTAGATTATGTAAATGATATATTATGTAACGTGGAATTGATGTACATGGACTTTGCCATTGGTCGAGCTCGTGATATTGTAAACCCCCATCTGTTCAAACAGTTGGAAAGTCGAAAGGCAGGAATTGAGAGTGATGGTGGTGATTCCAGGATAAGAAGGAAAGTTATATTTGATTGTGTGAGTGAATGTTTGGACTTGAGATGCAAGCGTTATGTTGGTGGGGGATACAAAATGTGGGCCAAAGGGTTTGCAATGGTGAGAAGAAATGAATGGTTGACTAGAGAAGTGTACAAGGAAATTATAAGTTGGAGTGCTATGGGGGATTCCATGGTTGATGAGCTTGTAGACAGTGACATGAGCAGCCAATATGGACGATGGCTAGATTTTGAGGTTCATACTTTTGAAGTCGGTGCTGAGGTTGATGACTCCATATTTAATTCTTTGGTTGATGATCTCGTTGCTGAAATCTTTCAATTATAACACCTCAATGATTGTTCAGCATTTACCAATGAAAGTGGGATTGTCAAATGTTTGTGAGCTTTTGTGTGTGTATCCGTGTATGAGCCTGCCTCCACATGGCATCCATGAATAACTTGAAAAACAACAAGAGACAAATGTCTTGGTTTCCTTCCCATCAACCGTCCTAGCCTTAATACATAATAATTACAACTTTTACATGATTATGGGGGGTGTAGGGCACCAGGCTAAGGTTGCTTTGGATTCACGCATAAGGACGCTCTAATTAATAGTACAAATGTTTGTTGTATGTGCGCTACTTCCGGGGAAAAAAGTATTTCTAATTAAAAATAGAGTAAAATTTCTTTTCGGTCTCTAAAAAAATACAGTCTTGATTGTAATTTATTATTAAAAAAAATTAATCTCGAGATCTTTAAGAAATTCAAAATGAACTTATTTAGTTGAAATCGTGTTTCTTTGCAAATTTGAAAAAAATCAACATTAGTTCTTCAAAAGTACTAAAATGAGTCCACTTTAAATTTCATAAGAATCGACCAGGCGACTAATTTTTTTGTAAAAGATCAAAGTAAGGACTGTATTTTTTGTTAGAGACCCAAAAATTACTTTATTCTTAAAAATATATATTTAAAGAATTTATAATTCTTCAATAAGTTTTCTTTGACAAGAAAAAAATTCGAAAAAACTTTTTTAATAATATTATAGAAAATTTAATAAAAAAATATAATTTTAATTTTTATTGTTTTAATGAGAGAACCGCACCCTAACGTAACTGGAAATGAGATCTAGACATGAATGCGGTGGACCTCTTTCATACGCGTGGTGTGAAACAAATGGAAGTATATTAATTTTGTTGAGACTTTTAGAATGGCGAAGTAGCAGATTAATTACTCGCCTCCCAATTATTGTATTAATAAAAAAAAAAATAATTATATTTTGGGCAATACTTTTTCTCATAAAAGAAAGGAAAAATATATAAAATTGGCAACACATCATAGAAAGGTCAATTTAAACTTGTGATAGTCATTTTGTTAAAAAGGTTGGATAATGAGTCAAAAACCAATTATGCATAAAGCTTGGATAATACACTTTTTTTTTTGGTTGGTACATTTATTTAATACACTCTTCTTAATAAACATTTTTTTACTACATTTTGGGAACATAACTAAATGAATTTTACCATACCGGAATTTCATCTTCTAAACACATTAGAAACTGATAGACTTTTATTAATTCTCCACCAGAAAATTACATTATGATTAGAATAATTTCCCCCGATTATTTCTACGCAATTGATCACTGATGAAAGCCAGTTACTTCACAACTGCTAGTACCCCACAAGGAAGTCATCATCTGGTCTTGTTCACGAAGTTGCCACTGATTATAGGATTGAACACTACCTTCCAAATGCATATCAGGCCACTGATAGTTATTATACACAGAATTCATTGATGAACAGCTAGTGTTCCACTCTCCACTTTCTCCATTTGATGAGCTCCAAACACTGCTCTTACTCTCCTCTCCCACTAGTCCACAGTTATTTTCACTAGTTACAATCTCACATGGGTTTACAAGTACCCCACTTTCAAACATGTAACTTAGTTTCATAATTTCATCATCTAACCATTGATATGGTCCCAAGGCCTCAACTTCTCCTTTCATACTAGGGCATGTGGGAATTGTACCATTTGTGTTGTCCCCCATCTCACAATAAGAGTTAAAAGCATAACCTTTTATCTCTCCAGCATTAGAACTTTGTGAAGTTTCTTTTCTTTGAAACACCTGATGATCCCTTGAGTTCTCTTCTAAGGAGTTTTGGCTGAAAGCCATTTTGATCTTGTCCTCTTGTATGGCTGGTTGACTTGTTTTACCTCGACCTGCAGCTTTTCTCTTGGAAGTAGCAGCTACGTTTATAGCAGCCATGTCAATGGGGGGTAGGGACTCATTTAAAGACTTCATGAAGCAGTAAATTTTTCTCCTCAAATGAGAGTTCCAGTAGTTCTTTATCTCATTATCTGTCCTTCCTGGTAAATGCCCTGCTATTACAGACCACCTACAACCAAACATGCAACAATTCTCAAAATTCACTAAAAAACTAAGAACACCAAAAAAAAATTATATAATATTAATTCCATTGGTTTTTAAGTTATGGTTAAGGATTAATGTAACCTTATCCAACAGCTGAAGTTTTTTTGGTTGAATTTACAGAATCTGATTGTCTTTACGAAGGAATGAATGAAACGAGAAATTAAATAACCCATTTTTATATTCCCCATTTTGGAATTGCGTTCAAGAATAAATGCAAATTATGCCATTTTCTTTCACGACTCTTATTTCTCTTCATGATGGACAAACACTCCTAAATTTGCATTGTCGACATTTTCTAATGGTTGGTGAGAACTGAGAAAGAAAGATTGTAGGGAAAATTTAACGTTGGAAAAAGAGAGTTCTTTATTTGTAATGTTTTGTCTTTTGAGGTGAAACATATCCCCATGAATCGTTGCTGTAATTAGAGCTTCCAAGATTGTGTTCTAAAGGTAACAGGAAAAGATATACTATATATAAATAATAAAAAGGCATTTGTTTTGGGATGTGAGAGCCGTACCTATTACCGAGAACAGCATGCAACTTGACAATCATCTCTTCCTCTTGAGGAGTGATGTTCCCTCTCTTCACGTCTGATCTCAAATAGTTGATCCATCTCAGTCTGCAACTCTTTCCACATCTCAACAAACCTTCATATATATGCATAAATATATACACATAGTTCACAAGTCACAACCAAATTAGCACAAACACAATAATGAAAATCATTATATAGATATACACCATGTACATGATGCATGTAATTAAAACAAATATGTACGTAGCTCTAGGTAGGTAGGTACGTACCTGCATTCTTGGGCAAGGACCTCCATGATCCCTCACCGTTTTCTTGAATGTATTCAGTCAAGATCTTATCCTCTTCAGCGGTCCATCTTCCTCTCTTCAACCCCACTTTCTCACAGCAAGGAGCTCTCCCCATTGATATTTTTTCTCTTCTTAATGATTTTTGGGACACGTACAGTAGCAGCAGAGAGAGTGAGAGAGTAGTGTGCTACTCACGACACACGCAAAGAATCCAAGACAGATGGAGACTAGTAGTGATGACCTTGAGAGGAAGTAGTTGTAGTACTATTCATGAATGAAAAGGCCGTCCATGTGGTTGCAATATATATCCTCACTGTAGCATGTTCTATATATGTTAATATGTTATATATATATAAGGAGATTGGGGAACAGAAACGATGTGGATGTTTGAAACCAACAGCTTTAGTTTACTGGATCGAAGTACTGTACACAGGTTGAATTGTCAGAGAAAAAAAAGGGTTGGATTTTGCTGGTGTTTGGTTGGAGCTTTTTGTGAGGATACCTAGACATATGGGATTGGGTTTTTGTGTTATCCATGTTTCGGTAAAAAAAATTACAAAATTTTTCTAGCTAACTTGGTTCCCCATCTTTTCATAATTGTGCGTAAAAATGGATGAAAAGCACTGTTTAACTTACCCACTTCTAACATGATATTTGAAAGAAAGCTGGGTAAATGGCAAAAAGAAATATATGCAGAGTATAACTTACTTCTTCTCATTAATATTTTACTCAACCAAACAATTTTTTTTACAATTTTCTATCAAATTCACTTTCCAATGATTTCCTTATCAATTATATTTCTATAGTATTCACGCCCCCCTGTGTGTTCTCATGTTACCTTTTTTAATCAGGGTTACTACTTACTAGGGCCGGCACTGCAACTTTCCCACCACAACCACAAGATCAACTTATAAAGTATATTCGTTACGATTATTGGATACGATATACATTACTTTGTTTCTTAGGCCCTTTGTGTCAGAGCAATAAATGCCCTCTTATTCGTGGGACTTACATTTAACCTACTATCATTATAACTTTCATTTTTACCTATCCTTACATGCAGCAGCTTCTTTTTATTAAATGCATGCGTGTTGGTATTACTTGTTTAAATATATTTGTTATCATGCGATGCGGATCAGTCAGTGAAGTAAAAACAAGTGGTTGTTACAAAAATTAGAACTGATCCGATTAATTCATTGAAAAATTAAATAGAAAGTTTTTACTTTTTACTGAATTTTTTGGTTCTGATTTTGAAAACTGATTCGATTCAAATTGAATAAAACTTATGTGTATGCATATATATATAATTTTATTTATGAAATTAACTATTATACTATTCATCTTTATATATTTATTTTATTATTTTTTTAAGAGAAGAAAACTTAAAATTTTACCAATATGTAAAAAATAGTATATATATTCTGTATATCTTAATTATTATTATTATTATTATTATTATTATCAATTAATAGCAATCTTTGCAAAAATAATTTTATCTCTTATACTTGTTTATGTGGAAGTATCTTTGCAATGCAAATTATAATTCACGATTATATTATATTATATTTCTTTATTCTTTAAATTTGTAGTTTTTTTTTCAAATAGTCTTTTTAGTTCTTGATTACCCTATTAGCCTGTTGTTGTCTACACTCTACACCAATCTTTATAATTTGTTTTTCCTATGATCTTATTCTCTAAGTTTATTCTTATTATTTTTTAATATTGTTTATGAGTTTGTTAGTTTTTGACTAGTTTAAAATTTATTCTTTTGTCTCATGTTTTTCTTTATTGTATAAATTTTATTATGTATATATTGAAAAATAAGTCGTAATAAAAAGTGGACAAAAAGAGGTAAAATTAAGAGAATAAGATGTCCTTAATTAGGTAAAAGAAAAAATCACAACAAAAGTAAATTACGAGTTAATTCATGACCTAGAAATACCCTTTGTAACAACATTGTGCAGAATTTTTTTTTTTTTTAGCCTGAATATGAAATGAATAAATTCACTAACACCATAAAAAAATAACTAAAAAGTTTGATAAATTTAAATCATTTTAAATTGAATTGAATTTGGATCAAAAGGGATTGGATGGTAAATAAGAAGTTAATGAGATTGGATGTGATGACTTTTCTTTTCGAAAGTGATAAAATATAACTGTCTCTGTATGTTTGAGTTAACTCACGATGGGAGAGACAATTTAGCTATTACTTATACACATCTGCATGGATTCAGAGCATATTCATATTTCACAGGATGATGAAGGGAAGTAGTGTAACACTCACACTCCGATCTAGCTAGCTATATAGGTAAGGAAGAGTCTACTATATATTGCTAGAATTAACAATTGCTCGTTCACTTACGCTCCGATTCTCAGTTGATATTAATTATAATTTGTCTCTACAACCCGGAATGCTGGTAAAGGGAGTGTTGTTATATGCTTGATAGAGATAGGAACAAATTCAATTCCTAGCCAAGAAAAATCAATGAAAAATAAAAATAAAATTGAAGAAACGAAGAAAAAGAGGGGGATAGTTTAGAAAAATTGTGGACGGAAAGGTTTCAAATTATGGCGTCTTCTCTTGTTCCCACTTCTCAGTATTGTCTTCAGCTATCGAAATTTATAAATCACTTCATAATCGATTATTAGCGAAAAAATAATTGATAAATTACATGTATTCTGTCATAAAAAATTTAACTAATTATTCATATTTTTAATTATTATATAAAAAATTGATTGTATAATTGAGTTAAGGTTCATGTTTCATATTGAAAATCGCAAATCCGAAAATCAATAATCAAACCAAAATGACAATTAATTTGGGTCCAATTCCACACGGATTTAATTAATCAAAACCAATTAAATTAATTAGTTCATATGAAATTTTCTAGCTAGGTGACCCAATGAACACCCCTAGGGAAGACATCGCAAGGTCACAGCAAGCCTTTGGATTCAGCAAACATTTATAGAGATACTTACATGTAACTCACCAATAATATTTTCTGTCAAGATTCGAACGCTGACTAGTTGACAAAGCTCTTTCTTACCAAGCTTGTTCTTTCCAATTACATCAATCATTGCATGTTGGGTTATATATGGCAAGACATAATTTAGTTTCAACAACTGTATTCCAGATGTACTACAAAATTGTGTTCCTTCGCTAATAATAATGATGATGATAGTTTTGGTCCAACCTCTGCCTGCAGTCCCCGACAATAATATTGCCAATAAAATCTGCATTTCCTTTATCTTCAAAGTGAAAGATTGTGAATTAATCATGTTTAAAATATGTGAAAATTAAGGCATTTGGGTTCGATAATCTTGTAATTTTCTGACCTTTTTGTTTTTTCGGGAAAATTTATAAATAAAGAACTTTTAAAATACAATACGTTAAATAAAAATAAATAATTACTCAAAATGATTATTTAATTTCATTTTCAGTATATATTTTATTTTAAATATAAAACAATTTATAATTATATTTTTATTAAGAGAATTTTTTTTAAAAAAAAATAGTTTTTTCTAAAAAAAATAGTCCTTGAATTGAAATGAAATAATAATTAACTTAGTAAAACAATTCCTCAAATGTAAGCCTGATCTTTTTCTCCCAAATCATAATAAAATGTAATTTTGATTGAACTCAGTGGTAAGTCAACACGTTTGTTAATTAGTGAATTTGTCAACATCAATGACAATTCAGTCTTGGTGAATTCATTTAATTAGATAACATAGCTGTCCTTACCTTTTTAAGTCAATAGAATCAATAGCTATATTGTGAATAAAACAAGAAACTGAGAAAGCGTTGATATAGCGTATAACGTGACAATTCGATAAAAGAATTAAATGAGCAAAACAAGAAGTGTGCAAGTGGCCATTAACCACTCTGTCATAGTAATTGCTGTACCAAAGGTTTTCATAGGACAACCCAAAGGTGAGAGTACTGAGCGAAATATCGGTGACACAGCCACACAACACAAGTGGAGCTAGACACGACGAGAAATTAACTTGCCATTGTGGAGCCATTTGAGGTAAGGTTAGTGTCTCCCCGTGTTTCAATTTGATCCCTTCGGGTCAGTTTGGTTTGTGCGGCTTTAATTGTGTTTGACTTGGTTGTTTTAGTGGCTAACAATAAGACATCCAACCAAGCGCAGCGGGATCTATTTTACGAAAATGAATAAAAAAAAAGAACTACATAAGAAGATTCAAGATTCTTTCGATCGAGTAGGTGGAACAAAATGTAATAAGAGTGTTTATGTAAATGTTGGTTATTCCCTATAATAATAGAGACGCGTTTGTTAGAGATATATAATATAAAATTATTAAAAAATTATTATTTATAAGTTTAAGTTATTGAAATAAAATAATTTTTTACATGATATCAGAGCTAAGGTGATTACAAATTCGATTCTCATTACCTTTTTTTTCCTAGTGGAATTAAATCAACATAATATAGAATAAAAAAATGCATACGTGCAATATCTACACTTTAAGTCCATAGTTCTCTTGCATCCATTGAAGGTTCATCACTTAGAAAATATTTTCAGTGTTACGAAAATACAGAGCACTTACTGCATCCTTTATCAAATATGGAAAAATGTAACATATTTACAATATTGTTATTTCTTGCCATATCTTTTTTTCCCCTTTTTTGGTAAGACAGTAGCTACTCCAATAGCACATAAAATGTACTCCATCACTTACAAACCTAAGTTGTTGAGTTAAAATGATTGCTTATCAGCTCTTTTTTCATTACTAAAAAAAAATCAATAACTATTGATTTAAGTGCTAATGAATTTGTTTTCATTAATTTGAGATCCCGAGTTGGTCCATGTGAATAAAGATATTGATATCAAGAGAATCACTTTTTATACAAATTTGACCCAGCTCGAATTAGAAGAGTAGAATAATCGATGAATCATTCGGAAAAAAAAATTAAAATAGTGCAGAAAACAACCACATTAACGATGTTGTCTCACTCACCTAAACTTCTAACGATAAAAAGAAAAAAGAAAAGAAAGGGAAAAACTGTAGGTCTGTCTGTGCTCGGGTAAGAGTAGGATCTCCAGGTGGTTTTGAAAATTATTGAAGATATCTATATGTCCCTTATTACAAATTTGACCAATTGACTACAGTAAGTTTTAGTATGTTGATTTTTGATAAACTGAAATTAAAAGTTGTCTCTATGTCTCTGACACATTGAACCTACGATTTCTTTAAAACCTCCCTCGCCGAACAATCTTTTTATAACCAAATTAGCTGTTATTTGTGTACTTTTTATGGTTAATTGCAAATATTTGATCCTCTTCACTATAAAAAGACAGACATAGATTTATAGTTTCGTGGTGTGCTTACATATATCTTGCTTGTAGACTGAATGTATGGTCGTTCAAATAATAAAAATCTAAAATGCAATGAGATGACTCAATGTGTATTCATGATGATGTTTTAGCTTGCTAAGTCTCCCCATAGTTTCGCATGTACAATTCTCCCATTTCTAATTAATTTTCAAAAACTTCAGAGAAAAAGGAATGTAATCTCAGATTAAACAACGCGTAATATATCTCTAATTAATTAAAAAATTGTCTTTTAATAGGACATAATGTAATTTGGACATTTTATGCAGTATTTTTTCAAATCATCTTTCAAATAACCAATCTTTAAAATAAAATAGTTACAGAAAAATGGATCACTTAATTAGAAATTTTGTTGAATAAAAAATATTAACAAAATATAATCACTCTTCACAACTAGTAATCAGACTCTTTGCTGCAATTATTATTTAGTAAATATTAGTAATTTAAGGAAAAGAAAAAGGTTAGACATTCCGTGAACACTAAAATAAAATATGATACTAATATTATTAACACCAAACAGTAATTTTATCAACAACAAAAACGGCTTCATATAAATTTTTTCTTAAATTGTCTGTGGGAAATCAAGTAGCTGAAGAAACGGGTAAGGGACATTCCACCAATTAATTAGAGAGGCCCATTTATGCTATATTTGACGGGAGATTCTATTTGCACCATTGGAATTATAATTTAATTTTTTTTTTTTAGCTGCATTCCATGAGCGACCGGTGTTAGGATATGTGACTGCATGAAACCCTAATTGGGGATTTATTGAGCTAGTATATAGCTAGCAAAGATGCAGTTGCCTTACAAGTCCCTCATTTAAAGCTGCTCCGTTTGGACCAGAGCCTTTGCTTAAAGCCCTGGTATAGCAGTAGAGGCATGAAAGTCCATGGTTGTTTGCCATAGTTACGTTTTTTTTTTCTTTTAAAGTTGGATAAAAAGTAAAAGTCGAGCAAGTTGTTTCACAACTAGGACACTGCACCACATTCAGTCAATATCTCTACCATTGATCACTAATAAGGATGTTTGTGGGGAGATTATTTTCTGTGTACAACCTTAATAAATGTATCTGCTATTCAACAAGTGACATTTGGATAAAAAAAAAAAATTATATCCTCTCCACATAAGCATTACAGTGATTCCTCGATTTTTATTGATTAATTGCACGAAGTGAATGGTACCGTAAATATTTCCGTTTGTGGGGTATGGTCAACTGGTGAACACGCGAGTTTTGATCCAAGCCTAACTCATAACTTGATAAGTTAGTTTGGACTTATGGGTTGGTTCGACTTTAAAATACTCAACTCATACAGAATAGGACAAGTTGTCGGTTGAGATTCTTTTGAGATTTATTTTAACCAGTACAACTTAACCCAATTCACATATTAATTTAAAAAATAATAACAATTCATTACACTTACTTCAATTAATTTATAAACTTATTGTTTATAACTTTTGCAATTTATTTAGTCGAAACTTATATTCATTTAAGTTTTATTATACTACTTTAGTCTTTTGTTCATTTATATTTATATTTATATTTATATTTATTAACTTAAGACTTATTATATTACTTTTTAATTCATTTACAACATGTTAGATTTTAATTAAAACTTGTTATGTGTAATAAATTTTAATATTTATTTTAATAAAAAATTTAATGTTTGTCAAATCTACAGATTCAACATTTCAACCCAACCCAGCTCCTGAAAAAGTCAAGTAGAAAGCAATTCTCATAGAGAGGAAGAAGTCTAATATAACCCAACCCAACCCAAAAACACTAGTTAGAATCAAACCCAAGCCTTTTTGTCAAGGCAGTTCAGCCAGCCAATTACCATGATTGGCATATCATATTTATACTATGAGTTTTCTGTTTAAGACAGATCCAAATGTTATATATCACATCAGTCATTTGGTTACAATTCTTCACCTGCTTATGAAGAAGTAACTACTATATTTGCACAATGATAATTATAATATTTTTCATTTGATAAATACAAGTCTCTATCTTATTTTTCATTTGATAATTATATCTGTTAACTTTAGACTTATTATATTATCTTTTTTTTTGTATGTATATTATGTTTTAATTCATTTAAAACATGTCAGATTTTAATTGATTTATGCACAATAATTTTTAATTGTATTTTAATAAAAATATAATATATCAAATTTTTCGATGACAGCATTCCAAAAATAACAAAAACCAACTCAATCAAGAATCAATTTTCAAGATCATTGTGACATGTCATGTTCATTCTTAAATAAACAGGCAAAATTTTAATAATTAAGTTTCCATTGGTACATGAAAGAATAAAAGCTTTCACAACACAAAGATCATGTTAGAATAACACGGAAAAATCTATTCTCAGCCCAACTCAACCTAAAAAAACCCGTAGGAGTCAAACCCAAAGAGACAATTCAGTCCTGCCAATTACCATCATTGACATATCTATCACATATATACTATGAATTTCCTGTGTAACACAGATGGGAATGTTATAAATCACACCAAATTCATCTTGTTAAATTTCTCATTTCTTCACATGCGTGTGATGTAAAACTACATTTATACACAACTATCTTCTCACAGTTTCAATGGTATAAAACAAAATCATGGGAATGGCGCTTGCTATTCCCTCTCAGAGTCCGTAGTACAAAAGAATCTGTGAAAAGATATACTTGAAGAGCCCACTCTCCAAACCAATCATCTGTCTCGAAGGTCAACAACATCACACTTCAAGTTAGCATTCATATAGACATGAGAGCAGTGCTCATATATTGGACTTCCATCCGAGGGCTCCTCATGGGGATGAAATCCACGTTGCTGACAGTTACGAATTATGGACACGCCGCCTGGATCAGACAGATGAAATATGCCATGTGGACTGCAGTGTCACAATAAATGTATGGAGCTCTAATTAGTGACAGAAAGTAAAATAAATCAAAATAATAATAATTTCTATCATATCCATATAGCATTAGTAGCGTAGAAACGAGGAGAATATTGATAGATTATTGTATTATTGTTAGAGTTTTCTCATATTTAAGAGATCTTTCATTATTTTTAGAAATTTTATATTTAATTAAAATTAAGATTTATCTAAGACTTTATTATTTAATTAGGATTTATCTTCCTAGACACAATAATCTTTTAACATGCTTCTCCATTCTACATCAATTAACTTCATTTCCATATTAAAGGCCAAGCCTTAGAGATATACAGACTTAAAATAGTTTCGAAGGCACAACTTATAATATACATCTCATTAAGTAGGTTGCAGTTATAGCTTCCACATGCAAAGTATTTTTTTAACGAAAAGTACTTTTCTGAAAACAATTGCAAAATATTTATTAAGGTTCTACTATTTATTGACGTGCCATTTGTTACGTGATAGATACCTCACAGTCCTCACATTCACGGTCAATTAATTGCTAAGAAAAGGTTTCTTGTCTTAAATAAGCAAATAAACGTAGAATTAAAGGCAGAGGGTTTAGCTACAGGGGCTGGGAGCAAAAGGCAACCCTATTGAGATATGATTTCACAACTTGTAAAATTATACGTTCCTTGGATTCATCAAAATAACCCTACCGCTCCTCTACCATGGAGGTTAATTAGAGATAATATGCACATTATTCATGACAGTATGAATTAAAAACTCATGCCATCCAACAACATGTGGAAGATGGAACAGAATCTTGAGTAAATTATTCAAGAAAAAACAAATCCTTCATCATACTAATTTTCTTTGATATTTCTCTCCTCCCTCCACTCCACTCTCAGGTTTATGAATCCAACAAGCAAAGTAGCAAACCATTCCCTAATCCAATCTCAGATCATGTGATTGGGTTTAAGGAGCCAAGCATATTATTAGACAAAATTTAATTTAAATGAATCATAAAGCTTGGACTGTAATCGGGGTTAATGTAGATGTTCCCTTGTTTAATCTGTGATGATCACGATTCATGAATGCCAAAAAAAAAAGAGTTACCTTGTTGTATCTGTAGGTGCCATGACAATTGCAATTGCCTCTGGTAACATGATCTAAAATGAAACCAAAAAGATACACACCCTATCAGCTAGGTACAATTAATGTTACAAGTACTTTTATTGAATGGAAAAAATAAAGATTAAACTCCAATTGTATTTACTAAAATCTTATACTCCAAATTATTAGGCCTTGATCACTTCATATATTATATTTTAATTTCTCATATTATGTTAAAAACTATGACACTATCAAATTCTCTTTATCTTAACAATCTGCAATTACACAACCACAACTGAGAATGTATCATCTAGCGTTAGTACAAATATTTCTGGTCACCCATGGTTATAAATAGAGGATTATACAAACTGCTTCAGCGTTTTCATCTACAATGTGAAAAGTCAGGAAACTCAAATTATTGTGCCATCTATTACCTGGTATGAGTAATGCGTGTGCAGATCCACGGATGACATGAAACAAGTCTGTGACGGGTGTGTCTGAAATCAAAAGAGAAATAAGATAAATACTGACATTTAAAGCATGTACGATAAAAGTATGGGTAAAAGAAAGGTATAAACTATAAAGTAAGAGTCACACAAAAAGAATGCTAATAAAGCATGCTTGAAATCAAAGGCTTGCTATCTTCAGTTGCACCTATTAATGGGGTAAAAACTATTGGATGCATCCAAGGATCAAAAGATCAGTGTCTTATGGCTTATGGGATCTTTGGTAGTAATTAATTCACACATAGCAAGGCAGAAATGGTCATCTTTAAGGTAAAGGTAAAAGACCTCAGAAGGGGTGGCAACTAAAAGAAACAGAAAAAGAGGAACCTTTGTGAGGACCAAATAACAACAACAAACTTTTACTATTTTTTTCCTGTCAAATAACATCAGAATACACTCCAAAGCCCCAAAAGTAAAACGGAACGAAAAGGATTGATTCTCTTCCTTTTATTCTTACAACAACTCATCTGCTGCACTATGCGAACTTCAAAATGCTTTTCTGCTTTCCTCAAAGCAATATTGATAGAAAAATGTGACAGTCAGAATTTTTGTCCAAAATTTTGATGGAATGATTTGGGATGATTGTTGACTCTTAGATGGGCCAGTGACCCCTGCCACTTTATTCCATCAAACACCACACTTAAATCTACCCAAATTCTATCAAAATTCTGGCTATTTTTTTTACCTGTGTTGCACTACTCACATTGATATTACTATTCAGGAAGTAAATTATTTGGTAATGGACAATTTTGGTGTAACCAGTTCAATTCTTGGTCTACATCAGGATTACAAAGAGAAGCAAATACTTAATGAATTATCCTTACAACTTTATAATTTATAAACAAGAGAGTAACATAAATGAGACATGTATCATCGACCAGTACTTTTATCAGAATTCAGGAGGTCCAAAAGAAAAAATAAAACATCTATACTGAATAATAAGTTTTTTACTGCCACCAACCAGGATAGATAACATATTACTCGTGAATATAATTAAATAAATGAATAAGTAACTGCCAAGGATAATGGAGCACTTACATGTATCCAACCTAAAGGAAAAAGTGATAAGCTGTCTTGAACTTCAAATATTTCTTCTTCATTCAATGTTTGACACTGAACAATAAATTAAATTAGATGCATTATCGCTGAATGGAAAAATAACATCGAACAGTAGAAAAAAATCATCAATGATCAATGAGAAAATTACAATCCTTTTGAATCTCAATCTCCAAATTCTAATAAGTACTAGATAATATGTTAGCTGTATTTGTATATAATATGCATTATTCCATTTTACAATCTGATAGAAATCCAGGTATTTGATTATAGAAAATGGGAATAAACCCCAATTACAGATATCATAACCACTGGAAAATCACTTTTGCACTCACAAACAGAAAAGACATGATGGAAACATTGCAGAACTTCAAGGGTCTGCTTCCCCCTTCCCTAAGGCCCAATTCCTTGCTCAATTTCTGCCCACCTTCTACCCTCCCTTCTCTTCACATAAATCCCCACTCACCCCAACCAAATTCCCCTTCTCAATCATTTTCCACTACCATGTAGACAGTCTGTTATGCAGCAAGCCATTAGGTTGAATATCCCCCATCCCACCCTCATTGTACCTGTGGGCTGATCCACTGCCTTCCTTTCTACCATTCCTCACGTACACCTCACTACGAGGGGGTCTATCACAATCATTGAAATTCCCAAGTATAACTCCACTTAATTGATTAAAGAACCAGTTGTCTTTAAAATTAAAAATAAGTGTGAATAATTCTATCATATGATTTACAGTAACAATGGAGGTTGAAGCAGCATTTCCACTAAAAATGTTCAGAGCTCAGATACCAATAATTCCCAATTATGCAAGATTTACCAATCACCACATCGGTGCATCACAACCTCAAAGCAGTATTAAAGCTTTATTTTGTCCAACAGGATATAATTGGAGTTAAGATACATGCAGGCTTTCTGACCATCGAATAATAAAGGATTAGAGCTCACTTAGAGACTCTAACAGTCCATATAATTATTTGAAACAGAAAACTGTAAAGCAAGAACTTAAATATGACCATTGTCTTACCGAGTCTGAAGTTGATTCCTGCTTTGGGATTATAAGTGTCGTGATATGGAAAACCCTGTTTTTCTAGAAACAACCAAATTACAAGCACAAATAACTGTAAGATCAGCATCCAAGAGACTTTCTAGAAGTTGGAAGTACACAAATTATTACTGCTCTTACCAGTGACCCAGCAAGAACACCACATGTCTCTAAGTTCTTCCGTGTGTTTGCCAAAGCCAATCTCAAAAAATCTTCCATCATTTTGATAGGCTGCAACACAGATTGCAATTATAATAACTTTTACACAGTATAAGAGCTAAATGAACCAAACACAAATAAGAACAAGTCACAATGAATGAACAAGAGAATCCAAGGTATATGCTGCAAAATATTATAAAATTAAAATAGGCTTACAATATGTAAGTGTTGATATGTAGTGGAACCAGGTCCAGAATCATGAGAAGATTTAGCTGGTCCTGGCCTTGGATCTGCAACTTTTGAAGGAGGGATGGGGACACGTTCCGGATATATTTGAGCAAGAACAGGAGGAGGCAAAGGTTGCTTGGTGTTGAGCAACTTTAAGGGGTCCTCCCTTGATTCAGTTACAACAGGAGAACAGGACTCAACAGCAGGAAGCGACCATCTTCCATCATCCAAGGAGAGAACTGAGTCCATTGTGGATGTAACTGGTCCTTGATCACCATCTTTAACTGCCGCAAGATCATATTGCCCAGCCTGATTCAGGCTATCACCATGAATGACAAAATAGTAAGTGTGTGGGTAGTTATATTTCAAAGACGCAAAGCTGAACCAAACATCTAAGATTTCAGCATATTCTCATAATCAGATTGTATTACAATGAGAAATAAAATATCAATAAGAACAAGAAAATAGCAAAAATAGTATTAATAAAGGAAGTACTCTTTGTAATGGACGGAGAAATAGACCACAGAATCCAAAATGTAAAAGATTGGGAACATGAGAATTGTGCAATTTGCACAGCATGAATATATGAAACAGAAAAAGGGTACTAACTTCAAACTCAAATTAGAATAGATGAGACAAACCTTGAATCCTTGGCATGTGTGAGATCACTACTGCTTGGATATTGAACCTGCAAAACATCAAATATCAATATTATATCAGAAATACCGACAATTCATGTTTACGCAACAGAAGAAAGCCACACTTCAAATCTACCTTTATTTCTGCACTAGGTCCAAGCCATTGGCCCCGAAGACCATTTGGTCCTAAGAATGAGTGTCTGGACAAAGTCTCCTTCTTTGGAAGGGGTAGACTAATAGATCTGCACAGTCCAAAGAACAGTTCTCACATTTCCTCGTTCAACACGTTTGCATTTTTTCTTCATAAATATATCTTGAGTGTACAAGACAGAACTTCCTCAAAGTAACAGGATAATATGAAACACATATGCTTCTGAAAACAAAGGGGTGGTACACACTAGAGGTGTGCTAAATGAATATCTCATTACGAGTTGAAATAGTATATAACCAACTAGGACATCTAAATAAAGCATAAGAATTTGATACAGTGGAGTATAGAAACAGTAAACATGATGAGTGTTCTCTTATATGTTTATTCTTTACCTTCTTCTTCTTCTTTTTTGTTTTTTTTTTGGGGGGGGGGGCTAGGGGGGCAACAAAATTGGGGAAAAGGTAGACAAGAAGGAATGACAACTAGAGGTGTGAATGGGCGAGACTTTGGCCTTAATAGCCTAAGCCTATGTAAAATATATAGAGTCTAAACTGGCCTATTTGCCTATTAAAGACTTGGTTTATTGGCCCGACCTGGCGTATTGTAAAAAAATGAAAAGTCTAACATAAGACCTTCTAGACCTACCAAGTTGAAAACCTTTTAAAATAAAAAAGATGAAACTTTTCATTCATTAAATATTGTTTCCAGCAAAAGTCTAAATTATAAAAATTCTCAAACAATTTTTGTAAACTAAATCACAAAGATCCTTAAATAATGTTCATAGCAATACATGAAATAATTATTGTTGTGAATTTTTTCTTTGCTCTTGGTAACCTTCACAATCTTTTAGTGAACCTTCTTCTTATCTTCCTCCTTTGATTGATCATTTTCACTTATTACACCACTTAAGCATCATCTTCTTGAAAAATAAAATCAATCAAAAGAAAGAAAAATAAATTTTAAGGATGACATAATCAAATCTAGAAGTAGTTTGCCTTAAACAAAGTACTGACCAATTTTAGGCCAGGCTTTTTAGATTGGCCTATGGCATAATTTTTAAATGGACTTTTCAAAAAGTCTAAACCTGCTCTATTTTCAAAATAGATCAGGTCAAGTCAGGCCTAAGATAGACCAAAGGCCGCCTGACCCATTTGCACCCCTAATGACAACTGTTAAATCAGAAACATAAAATCCACTTAGACATCTAAATGCACAAAGAAAACTCAATTGCAGACAAAAAGGGCAATAAAAAGATGAGCATGGGTGACTCATAATTTCACCAGCAAAGTTTGACCTCCCAGAATGGTCAAAACCCATGCCTCATGTAAATTGTAGAAAGTTTAACAGAATAGAATATGATTAGGTAGAAAAGCTTACAGTTTCTGAAACTGCTTGTCAATGGGCATGGTATTTGAAGATAACATATTATTATTATATTTCCATGAAGAGTGTGAACCCAATCCATCAGGCTGCAGATATGTCGGGGAAAAAAGGAGTTAATAACAGTCAAAGGTTTAAATAGCATGAAAGCCTGTTAGAACAGAAAGTTTGAAGTTTTATGCAATTTACATAACTCCTTCACAAAGGCATATTGATAAACAAAAAGCAAAGAGCCAACAAAAAGAAAATTTTAAAATGTAAAATTTCAAGCACTTCAAGCTGTATCTAGATCAGGCACCATGCACAGATGTAAATAGATTAAGAATTTTCAGTATACCAACAATTGATATTAAAAAATTATAATCAAGACCTCACCTGTTTAAAATCCATGCTCAAATTATAACTCTTATTGACAGCTGGCCATTCCAAAGATGAATTCTCATAACTCTGCAAGGCTTTATTGAAGCCATTTTCTTCAGGCAATGGAGCTTTTACATGTGAGCCATTCAATTCTTCCAACCGGCGTTTAAATTCAGGCTTCAAAGATTCAAGCTCATTCAATACAACTCGCGATCTCTGTAATGGAAAAATGACAGAAAAGGACAGCATGACCATATTGAAAGATAAAAAATAAACACAGAGACACACACACATCTACCATAAAAAGTGGCAAAGCAGTTTCTCACCTTCTTGGCTGTTGCTCTTTCATTAGGAAGTGAAGCTTGGTAATCTCGATGATATGGAATCGTTTCAGAAATCAAACTTGAAAAGATAACAGCAAAAGAAATGAAAATGTTATATTCAATTTAACTGCAAACGTATTAGTTCACCACAAAGAAAATCCATGAAAATTTCATCTTTTACCTTATAAATCTAAGGAGTATGATATACAAGTCAATTATATTATTCTCCTCCCGGTAGATACTTGCCTGTTGACAAGAACAAAATCAGTCACTCAACATCCAGAAGCAGCAACCACGTGTACACCAAAGTTCAAGCTATTCTACACGAAACTTTTGGCATCTATTAGTGCAAGGTAGCATAATGAATTCAACATAGATATGCCCAGAGAGGTTCTGTATTGTGTATAAGGGCACCAAGCCAACAGCAATCATGAAACATTCTAAGTTCCGTTTCTGCGACTAACGTAAAAAAATTTATATTGATTTGTAACAGTTGTGATGTAACATGGTAGGAGTCAGGAGATGAACTAGTTGTGATCACATAAAACACATCTTATTAAGCCGTGTCCTGCATCACATCGTTGATAGATTATAACTAGGGCTGGAAACAAGCCTATTAAACCGATCATCAATAGCATGAATTTGGCATAAGTTGCGCCAAGAATTAAAATTTCTCCTTCACATACGAATTCGATAATTGGGGTTTCAAAAGCCCTGGTAGTGCGTTTCTACAAACTAATAAACGAAAAGGCTTCTATATTGGGCTTCGAATATATTCCAGAAAATCCTGATAAGCCCTAATGTAATTGAGGATGAACCAACCATTAACCATCTAAAACCAAAATTAAAGGAAAGATTTGATGGAGTGACGTACCTGCTTGATGAGGTTATCGGCAATCCGATAGTAATAACGGAGGGGAATGCGATTGTCAACCTCGACTTTGCGAGCGATCGAATCTAAGTCGATGTTCATATTCTACAATCGATGAATGAACCCTTCTGTCTCTCTCTGAAATTCACGAGCACGGTTCCGAGTAGCAGGTATGAAGGAAGGATCAAAGTGCGTTACTCAAGTCGTTTCGAAGAAGGTACTCGTCTCTTTTTATACTTTCATGTCCAACATATACGACATAGTGAGGTAACCAAGGTAGTTAAAATTTTGATTTAAATATGCCATTTTATAATTTGTTTTAGGGAAATTATTATATCATGTAATAGGGGAGAGTTATTTTATGTTGTAGATACATCGATAAATATGTCCTTAATTTATTTATTTTTTAACACGTGAGACCCACCATGTATTGAGTCTATGACATGAGAGAAGTATCTCCTACGACATGAGATTAGATGCTTCTTTTTTTTAATCAAAATTTTATTTACAATTTTTATGATAGTCTGTATACTAGTATTTTACGTTTTATAATTTTTTATTCTTCTTCTGATTTTAGGTAAAATTTCAATTTTAACTGTACGGTACATAATCGTTTAAAAGTAAATTGTGTTTGTGCAGTTGAAGAATTCTATTGTATCTTCAATTCAAATTAATGAATTTAATGGATTATAAGGATGTGTTGTATGGGATAATGATAATGATGTGTAAGTTTCTAATAATAATAGAAGCTAAGAGATTTTTTATTTAAAAAAAAAAAAAAAAAAAAAAAAAAAAAATTTGTATCAATCAGTTTGTTGTTTAAATTGATTTGGTTTGTCTTTTGTTTCTGTTTTATATATTTTTCTGATTTATAAAAAAATTATATATATATATATATAAGGAAAAGTGTTTGTCATTTTAAATGACTTCATACTCTGTCCTTTTAAGAGAGAGACAGACACCGAATTTTTTTATTTAAATTTTAAATTAAAAAAATCACTCACTTTCTCTCTCCCATGATTTTCATTTTTCTGTGTCTATCTCTCTCCTAAAATGACATAACTTATGTCATTTAAAAAAACAAACACTTATATATATATATATATATATATATATATATATATATATATATATATATATATATATATATATATATATATCATTTTGGTGGTTATAAATAATGTTATGAACTCAATCCATATCCTTACAACCCTATTACTAGTAAGATTGGATAGAGATATCACATTCATATAATCTAGAGACGATCAAGGGATAAGATTTATATCCCCATCAATTAATGTAGATTTTATATCAACTGTGAGATCTCAAAGACTCAAGTCTATGAAGGTAATCCTTATAAATAAGAAGCTAAAGACCCCAGGTACACACTTTTGACCTATTTACTATTACTGTCAAGTGCACACACTCACGTCTTAGCTACATACCCATTGATAGTGCACAGTGATTGGAGTATTGCCAATAAGTCAATCGGTTATCTATCTCTTAGATCTCTAAACGCATACTCATAAGATATCCTTATACCGGTTCAACAGGACCGAACAAATAATATACAAAATATATGAAATACCATTTTCATAGGTCTGATATTAGTTTTGTTGCTCATTGGGGAAATTATGAAAGAGATTTGTAATTAATATATAGTCAAAAATTATTAATTTTTGTTGATTATTATTTATACGAAGAGTGGTATAATTTTTGAAGAATAAGACCTTTGAATCAATATTAAAACCTAAAAGTATGAGCGTAAATAGGCTAGGCCAGCCTACAAGGGTCTACTGTCTTACCTATATTAGGCTAGACTTGACCTATTACAAATAGTAAAATAGAATAGACTTTTAAAAAAATCTATTTAGAAAATATGTCATAAGTTTTTTTGTACATGTCGGGCCTATAAGTCTACAGGTTGGCCTATATCATATTATTTATTTTAAATAAAATTATTAAAATAATAATTTTGAATAATAAAGTAATATTATTTTAGTTATTCTTTTAATTGTTGAATGTTTAATTGGCTTAATCAGGCTAATAGACCTAAACCAATACTTTTATTTTTTAAACATAGGTCAGTCCAGACTTATAATTTGGGGCCTACACAAGTTAGGTCAAAATCAATATTTTTTAACACAGACCTGACCTATTTAAGTTAAAGCCTAGCCTAGCCTAGCCTATTTACACCCCTACCTAAAATGATTCAAGTGGGAGAACAATGGGAAAAAAAAGTCGAAAAATAGATATTTAGAGAAATGTTACTTATGTTGTATGAAGAGATATAATCTGTTATAAATGTAATTATGTAAAGAGATAGAACATAATCTATTTTGCCATTTTTATTTATTTACTCAAGACCTCTAAAAGAAAGGCGGTGTTAAAGTTTAACTAGTTAGCTTTAAGTAAAAATGTAACAGTTTTTTCACCCAATCATTACCCGTATGTACATTGGAGAAGTTAGTTCACGACATTGAATTACATCGACTCAAAGTCATAAATGATGTTTCCGTTAGGGAGAGTTAATACTTAATGCAATTGTATTCTTTTTCTTGTCCATGATTTTGTCCTATTAAGTTTTCTTAACGATGTTTTCAATAAGAGTTTTATTTTCATGTTAAATTTTATTGGATAGTGGTTCTTCTTCTTTTTCTGTTTAACTCTATTTTTATCATTGATTTTTTTCTTAGTGATGTTTTAACGGATATATTCATAATAAACATGTAAGGGAGAATGCTATGAGTATTTCTTAAAAGAGGGATGTCCGTAAGATATTACTTGATCTTGATTTGATTAGTATTTAATTACAAGAAACATTGTATTTAATTAGGTTTTGATTTAATTGTGATTACTCTATTCTTGGACTATAAATACTCTTTGGTTATCTTATGTAATTACACATCTTTAGTATAAATCAATTACATTCATCTCTCTATTTCTTCTCTATCGTTCGTTGGTGCCATTTATTATTACTTTTATAATGTATTTTTTTTTTACAATTTTCAGATATACTTTTGGGAAGAAAAAAAAAAGTGATTACTTCATTTAGTTTAAGCTAAATCAAAAACATGCTAAAATAAAGAGTTAAAATTCTCTGTCAAGAACAGTACATTGTATAGATGTGTGATAAAATCTTAATAATGCTACCGCTCCCATCAAATGACGTGGCAACATATATGAATATGTTCAAGATGTACAGTATAATTTGCTTCCAAGAATTGCATCCAAGAAACATCGAAGGCGGTACTGCGGGGTGAATGTATAAAATTTACTCAATGCATGGTTGGCAATGACCGTACAAATATCTAACTGTTAGAATTTTTTATAATTTTTGTAGATTTCAATCGATTGTAGTTTTTTTATTTTAATAAAAATGGATATAAAATCTGTTTAATTTTTTATTTGGGGATATAAATATCTGTAAATTGATTATTGTGGATAATAATATAGGCCTAATCATAGGTCCATGCTAGAAAGTGTTGGGTATGGCTCAGTTGTCGATTTCCAACCGAAAGAAAACTATAATTAATAAGTTTGGTTATGTACTTTTGGTATTCACTTGTAGTTGAGAAACAATCACTTCATAATTTTTCTATTAAGGAGTAATGTGAGTTATGTTTTAAATCTTACAGAAATATCAGAGCAAGCAAGAAGCAACGTAGTCTTTCAAGAAATAAAAAATCATGTATTTAACAAATAATTTCATATACTCCTATGACTTCTTACACTAACATGAAGGGACTTTTAATTTTTATTCTTATATTGATAAACTTTATATGATAGTAAAGATTAATTCATTTTATGATCAGTAAATACATAGAGGAGTACATGCATAAAAAAAAGTTACAAAATTGAGGGGATATTCATGACATGTGTCTTACCAACTAATAATTGGTAGTAGTGAGAAAATGATTGTGTGCTATAAGAGTGGCATGAAGGAGCTCATTCCAGGAGTCTGGAATTCCAGGAAGGCACCAGTGGCTGCAGTCCTGTACCATCCTCAGGCCTTTATTCACACCTCTTTCTCTGTATCTTGAAGGATGCCCATCTTTTCTGTAATCAGTCATTTTTGTAATATTGAGGTAAAACACTGGTGTCTTCATTTCTGCTATTACACTTTCAACAATCTTCATTGTCCATGGATATGCTGCTAGATAGCTCTCATTTGTAATTGGTTGTCTCTCCCCATCACATTTACCTCCTGAGTTCCATTGTCCCCCTCTTCAAATCACACCCATACAATCACTTATTTGTGAAATAAATAATGTACAGATTTTTATTTTTTATCCATGAAAGTTTAATTTATTGTCAATCTACCTGTAATGAGAAGCTGAGAATCCAGTAAAGAAAACCCTTGTACGCGTGCTATCAACTTTTGAATCAACCCATTTAGCCCATGTCTTGAGCGCTTTTCTTAATGCTTCAGAAACTTCTAATCTGTCATAAACATGATTACCTTCTTGAAAATAATTTCTGCTGCAAGAAGGAATCATTGATACTGATTAGTCTTTGTGTTTGACTTTGGTTACCAATGTTGCAAAAAATATTGTTTCTACCTTATGACAGTTTGGAACTAACTAATGAAGTGGATAACTAACTAGCAGAATTATTCTTACCCATTTCTGGTCTTGTCGTGATTCCACCAGTGGCCTGTGTTGAAAATGATTATATCAGCATTATGGTACTGATACTTAGATGCTTGGATCATGTCAAGCCTGAGAGTTTCCCTTTGAGGAGTTCCACCCTTACGTGACATTCTCCATTCTTGGACAAGAAATGGGGATTTGACGAAGTCAATGGAACATCCATAATCCTAGCATGACAACAAAAACACAATATTAATTAAACGTTAAGCATGTAGCACCAAATTTCTTATAGCAAAATAAAATGCTTAGAGGTTCATATACAAAAAATGCGTGATAAAATCTGGGAATGAAATGTCAAGAATTTTATTATCAACGAACACCTAAAAGTCAATACATCCTTTATAACTTACTCTGAATTTGAAAGAGAAAAAACCTTGAATCCTGAATTCACGCCTTCCTGAAACTTCATAGATTTTGCTCTTATCTTTCAGAGATGCCCTCAATGCACAAACCAGAGACAGCCACATGTTCCTGTTCAAGGAATCCCCTACGAACACCAGCCTCTTACCTCTTAGCATGCGCAACATTTTCAACCCATCAAACCTATATTTATGAAAATGGAAAATATTCAAGACTAAAAGAAATAAACAAGAATTTGAACTATTTAACGTAGCAAAAATAGCAAATGAAGTTAGATTAGAACCTTGGAATCTGACATCCGTGTGGCTTCCACCGATATTTAAGATATTCCGAATCAGCACGTCCATTCTTGAAACAGTTGAAAGCGTCATCAAGAAATGGACACGAGCCAAGTTGATAAACGGGTCCAGCATCATCATGAACCCAAGTACCATCAAAGATGTCGCAGGAAGTGAGGTCCCTTATAACTTGTGACTCTCTGTTTGTGGAATTGCGGTGAGTTCTTTCTGCTGCGGTAACTGAAGAGAATGTGCCTCTGCTCTGTGACTTTGAAACCGTATGGGAGTTGGTGAAAGTAACTGGAGGACGTGCCAACCCATGATTCAAAGAAAATGGGAATAATCGAGAGGTGGCAGCGTTGGCTTTGGGAGAGTTGCTAGTCGTGGTGTATGATGCTGAGAGGAGGAAGAGGGAGAGAAGGAAAAAAGGAACAGTCAAAATGTGAGTTCTTGGACGTGAGAGAGGGTGTTGAAGAGTTCTTGGAAATTCTGATGGAGTGAACCACTGTTTCTTGAAGCACGCCATGCATGAGAAATAGAATGTGTCCACAAATGAAATTGGAATGGGATTTGATTTGATGGCTCTTTCTGTGTTTTAACTTTAAGTTTCAATTTCAACTGCGCCTGGCTATGTTTTCTTTTCTTTCTTTCCTTCTGATTCATTTGAATTGAAATTCTTTACGTGGTTTCCATTAAGCACGTAACCATTATATTATATGTAACCTTTTTTTATTATTTAGTTTTAAATAAATACACATATTAGATATGGGGTTCGATTTTGTGCCTAATTATGCAGTTTTCTTTTGAGAGTATGCCAAAAAAAAAACACTAGACTTAGACTCTTTTGATTTTTAAGACTGGTTTAGAAAAGAAAACATTAGCTTTCGCCTCAAAAATAAATAAATAAACAAAAACATGAATTAGAGTTAAGTTTTGGTAATGGCTAAATTACAGTAGTGATTATGTATACTTTATAACAAATTTTTTTTTTTTAATTTAATGGATGCGAATCACAGCGAATAAAGTAGTTATTTAAACCTTAAAATGGAAAATTCGATCCAAAGAGAAATATTTTTTAGAAACCTTTGGCCTACCTAGATCAAATTACAAAAATAATGTATATGTCTAAAAAAAATTGATATTTTATAATGGACCCCACTAATTCAACTTCGAGTTTGTGCCTCTTCACCTTTTCGACTCTCCCAATTCAAATATATTATCATTTGAGTAGGTCAAGCCTTGAAATCTAGTAATTTAGCTGGGTCCACTAGACAAATAACTCTTATATAAGGTGATTTCTTTTAAGCTCTAGCTTTTTTCTATAATAAAATGGACGGAGAAAGCCTGGAAGGTGTTACTTTTTTCGTGTCTTGAATCAGAATCCCAGTAAAGTCGAAATATGTTGTTACTTTTTAAACCGAGAAAAATAAAATAAATTTGAGTCAAACTAAGAGGTAAAATTTAATTTACACATATTCCTTTAAAAGGAAGTTAACTGCAAGAAGATTTTGGTCACGTATCTCACTTAAACATTGGAATTTGAATGAGTGAATGACAAATTTTTGAATTGTGTATAAAGTAAAAAGTGAAAAAAAAATAAAAAATTCCTCCACATATTTCAATACTTAGGAGGTTTATGGGGGCTTAAAATAAAAAAGAAAGAAAGAAAGTCGAATCAAGGCCACTAATTTCTTGACCCTTATTACTAGATGAACTATCTTCCCAAACATCCACTCGCCACAACCATTTGATCTAGGCCCAATCCTTCAGATGTCTCTGGACCTTTATCTACTAAAAAGTCTACAATTCACTTTTGAAAGTGTCCATTCCTTTAATCCTTTCTGCTGTCATTCAAGAAAATGTTACATTTATTTGTGGTGATCGTGAGTGTTGAACTACGAACAAATAAAAAAGTTTAAAGCATTATTAAGTTCAACTATAATCATCCCGCGGCCACAATTCTTTTTGTCTGAACTTGCTTATAGAACAATTAAGCCTCACTGTTTAATAATTGTGTTTTGCAGATTAATTTAGAAAACCATGCAAAGAGTTCTGAACCAAAGCCTCCTTCATGTTAAATAATTCTCTTTGTCTGCACTTGCTTATAGAAATATACAACAATTAAGCCTCACTATTTAACATTTTTCTTTTGCAGATTGATTTATAAACCAAGTGAATTATATTTTATTTTAATTTAATAAAATATATTGTAATTGAAATTTATTAAATAATTTAATAATAAAAGATATGATTGACTTACATTAACATTAAAATAAGAAATCTGGCACTTAATCTTAATCATTTATCTATGTGCATATGACATGACAGTTGTTATTTATTAAGAATTAATAAATAATTAAAAATATAATTGATTGTTAGAGATATAATCAACTTATACTATCATAAAAATAATAAATTCTATATCCAATCATATTTAACCATTAGTTATAACTACTCTCTCTTTTTTTAGTACTATAACTACTCTTTTACTTAAGGGGATGTTTGATATGTGTTATTCGATTGAAATGTTGGGAAAGTGGGTTCAGGAAAAAAAATTCTCATGTTTGATATGGGTAAAAGGGAAAATAAAAAAACTTCCCCATCTTTTTTTTTTTAACTACACATTCTTTAAACATAATATCATTCCAGGCATGGTATTTTTTTTTTCATGTACTCAAAATCACATAACCAAATTTGGAGACGAAATTGTCCTCATATCGTACATCTCAGACCCATGTGTAAAAAAATCTTGCAGCACAGCAACACATAAATACTACATCGTTATAGACAGAGGTAGATTTGGGGGGCTAAGGTGGGCCACCGCCCCCCAAAAATTTAAAGAGACTTTTTTTTAAATATATACATAAAATAAAATTTAAGTTATATTATAAAATTATTTGTTTTAAAATTTGCATAATATAAAATTATTCTCCATAACATCATCAGATATCACACTATACTCAATCTTTTTTTCTTCCTATTCCACTATCGAAACATGTGGAACCCCCCCCCCCCCCTCTCTCAATTTTAACAAACCCTCATGGCCTCATCTGTATCCCCATGGAAAAACCTCTCTCTCTCTCTCCCTCTTAATTTTAACAAATTTTCTCAGCTCGGGTCTCTTTCTATCTCTATTTTTTTTTATGAAATTAACAATGCTGCTATTATTCGATTGTTTTGTTTCGAAATATGTTCATATCATCCCCATGCTTTGAATGTTTTGTTTCAACTCGTTATCTTCCATTGATTAACATTTTTTTATACTGACGTTCGGTGCGTTAATGTTTTTTAATACTTTAATGTTTCATTGAGGATTACTTTTCAAACGGAAAGAATAAATTGTGTTGGACAAATAAATTAAAAAAAAAATCAAAACACGGATGAACCAATAAATTAAAAAAAAAAACTCAAGGTGAAATACAATAAAGCATAACAACATATTTATTGGGGACTTGTAATATTTCAAATTTTCAAATGCTTCATTTACTGATCTGTTAGTGTATTTTTTTTAGTCTATAATTTCTTATTTTTTGGACTCTGAGTTGTGGAAGTGTTTACTTTTCAATGTTGGTTAGCTTGCTGGAGTGTTGTTCTACAATATATCTTGATGATTATATTTGAATAATTCTACTGGATTCAACAGCTTGTCCAAGCATCATTTAGGTACTATGCATTTCCACGTACATTTTTTTTTTAATTTATTTATTTATCTATAATTTATTTAAACGTTTTCTGGATCAATTTTAATTGTAGATTCAACGACAGAGATTATAGGTAATTATTATGGGGAAGAGTGCTACTATTCATGTTTATTTTAAAAGAAAGAATAATGAGTCTTTGCCCTCATCTACTCCTAATGTTGCATTGTCAAATATTAAAACTCCTTCTTCAATATGTGAGGTGAATGAAATGGATTGCAGGCTTTAATTTGTGCTGAGTGTCCAACTGCTTATTATGTCCATTGTTCAGCTCATCGCCTTCAACTTGCCTTGGTTGCTGCATCTCATGAGGTAAAACATGTTCATCAATTTTTTGAAAAATTAAACTTCATAATTAATATTGTTACGTCTTCTTGTAAACGTAATGATGAGTTAAGGGTTGCCCAAGGAAGTGAAATTGCAAGAATGATTACTATTGATGAACTCAAATCAGGAGTTGGTCTTAATCAGATTGGTACTTTGCATCGAGCTGGAGCTACTCGTTGGAGTTCTTATTACAATTCAATATGCAGTTTGTTTAAAATGTTTAAAGCCACATGTGAAGTTCTTGACAATATTTCTAATGAAGGAAAGACAACATCACATCGTGGAGATGCAGATAATGCATACTCATTATTGACATCTTTTGATTTTATCATCCTTTGTCAAGCTTTGCAACGAATGTCTAAAGACATTTTAAATGCTTTACACCTGGTTTCAACTACAAAAGAGTTACTTCAGAAATTAAGAGAGATAGATTGGGAAGCTTTCTTGGTTCATGTTCAAGAATTTTGCATAAAACATGACATTGACATTCCAAATGTGAGTGCAAAATATATTGGAAGGAGAAGTCGTGCTCAAAATGAACAAGGTGATTTTTCTACTGAAAAATTTTATTGGGTAAATATTTTTTGTGCTACAATTGATTATCATGCAAGAATTAAATAGCAGGTTCAATGATAACATTGTAGAATTACTTGCTTTGAGCATGTCTTTAGATCCAAGAAACATGTACAAGTCATTTAATAGTGATGATATTTGCAAACTTTGTTGATAAATTTTGTTTTAGAGATTTCACATAACAGAAAAAATTGCATTTGAAGATGGAGTTACAACATTTTGAGATTGACATTCCTAAATATACAGATTTGATTAGTTTATCAACTACATCTGAATTATGTCAAGGGCTAGCAAGAACTGGAAAATCCATCATTTACCTTCTTATTGATAGAGTGATTAGACTTGTACTTACTCTTCCAGCTTTTACAGCAACTACTGAAAGATCTTTTTCAGCTATAAAGATAATCATGACCAGGCTTTGAAATAGAATGAAAGATCAATTTCTTGATGATTCTTTGATTACACACATTAAAAAAGAAATTGTTTTGAGTTTTAGCATGGATTCCATTATAGATGAATTTAACAATATGAAAACACGTAGAGTAAGAGATATAATAGAAATGAAGTGATCTTAATTTCTATAATAAATTTCTTTCAATTTTGTGCGTATTAAATCTATATTATATTTGAAGTATTTTTATTTATAAAGAGATATTTTTATTTTTCACCTCCTCTCAATAAAATTCATGGATCTGATTGTTGGACTTGTTCTTCGTCTTCGTGTACTCCAGCTCTGTGGTCTGGGTCGAGGTGCATAAAGATAAGGTGTCTCAAATCGATGAGAGAGATAGGGTAAGATTTTACGGTACACAGTGCATAAAGATCCTTGCTTTTTGAATTTGTGTCTCAAATCGAATGAGAGCTTCGATATTTTCTTATGGAACAAATTTGGTGCTTCTTGTTCTGACGCTTCCAATTCAATTACCACAGGTTTTAGCAATATGGGACCCTCCATCGCTTGTTTTTGTTTTCTTGTCTTTGTCGTAACAAAATTTTGAGCTTAAGAATAAGGGAAAAACTAGTAATATGTAACATGATATAAAGTTTTTTACCCACTTAACCATTAGTTTCCGCACTAGCATTTTTTACTTTTTGTTTTTATTATATGTGTGGGACTCACATATATTTTTGTTTAAGTAGGAAAAACTATCTAGATTATGTAACATGACATTAGTTTTACCCTAAGGGGGTGTTTGGTTCAAGTTTTTGGAGAGGATTACCGGTAATCCTTCTTTGGTAAATGTAATTACCACGTTTGGTAGAAGGAATAAATTACGATTCCCGGATATCCAAGGATTACCGATAATTTGATTTATAAAGAAAAGTCACTATTCAGATTACAAAAAATAATATGGTAATTCGGAATACCAAGTAAAGGGAAAACACAACAATAAATTTTGAGACAAAAATACCCCAATACACGTAAAAATCTAGACCGAATCTATCAATTACAAAAGTAAAAATAGTTTGGGGTTATTTTTGTAAAATAACCTCATATTCCAAGTCATATTTTGTTCTAAACCAAATATGGAATCAGTAATTTTTACCCAATATTCCCGGTAATATTTTGGCGAACCAAATACATCTTTCGTAAGATTCCAAGTAAACTCAATTTCTACTGAATTTCCATTAATCATGATTCCCGGTCACCAAAAAATTTCTCTGATACCAAACACACCCTAAGAATAATTGGTAGTGACGTGATGCCTTTGCTAACAGGCTTGATGAGAGGTTGAATGATTCTAGAAACAGGTAATTTTATAGTTTATAATATTTTTCTTTATATTTACAAAAATATTTACAAAACCAAGTTAATTTATTTTTACTAGGTATGATGGACTTATAATAATTGAATAATTGTTTTTTTATACTTCTTTTAATAATTTTTAAATGAGGATGAACATGGAATAGTAATAAAATTGCTCTTAGTGTGACTAAAAAGTTACAGTTTTAAATTCAGAAAAATAGTTCCTCTATAAATATATATGGAAGGTTAAATGTGAGCAGGAGGATTATCCTCACTCATTTTTATTAATCGGAGTTTAATGGAGAATATTTTTTAAACAATTTTTAAAATAAAAAATTTACAAATGGGGTGGTTGATATTTTTGATAGCATTAGTATATTGTAACCGGTTGACTCATTTTTATTTTATATTTTATGTTTTGTGGAGTCAGTTGTTTAATTACTAATGTATGAGACTAGAAATTTTGTGATGTTAATGAATAAATTAAGAAAAAATAATTATAATAGTACAATACCTCAATGTTATTCATTATTTTGCCTGTAATAAATTTAAGGAAAAAGTTCACAAAATAAAAGGGTAATTTTGTCATTTTACTTCATAATCTCGATAATATTTTGGTTTACCAAATATTTTTGCATAACTTCCCCGGACAAAAATATTTTCCACTATATTTTTAGAAGAAAAAAATTTCGGTAACAAATATCTACTATACCAAATGCGTTAAAAAAATCCAAATAAGACGAACAAGGCGAAATCACGTTGAGAAAGCAGCAGAGTAAACGTTCATACCCAGTGACGGAGCCACGTATGGGGAAATATTTATAGTACTACAGTAGTACCGAAGACTCGATGTATCATTTACTCAATTTAAAAAATATAATATATTTTTTTTACCATTTTACCCTTCCTTGTATGGTTATTTTCTCCAAAATCATCATCATTTTTACTTTTAGTAAAGGATTACATACTACAGTAGTACCAAAGATATGCTCCACGTATGGACTGGGTGTGGCCTCGACCCGAGCTAAATTTTAACAAATTATATTTATTATATATAATTATATGATTAATTATAATTTTGTCTGGATTAAAATTGTAATTTCGCCCAAGCTACAATTTGTAATTTAGCCTTATCTAAAACTTAAAATATTTTTGGTAAAAGATTTGGGTAAATTGTATTAGGTCATATGTTCAATTTTCAGTTGTATAAAAAAAATAATTTTTTTTATAAAATTAAAAAATATTTACTAAAATTATAACTCTTCTTAGTACAGGTGCTTTGTATTGAATATAATTTAAATATATTATGATATGAACTAACTAAAATTAAGAAGAAAAAATACACAATAATTTTTTTAGCCCGGCTCTGCCACTGTTCATGCCAGCATGAAAGGGATCCATGCCTGTTTGGCTTTGTTGCACAAGGATTTTGGTATTTGCATGTTAATTTTATAGGAAAAGTGTGTATCATTTTAATTGATGTAAAATTGTGTCATTTTAAGTGAGAAAAAAATATAGATAAAGGAGAAAAGAGAGTGGACGAAAAAATATAAAAGTGTGAATCCTCATTTCTTTATGAAAATAAAAAGATATAAGTTGTGACTTGTGACAAACATTTTTCACTAATTTTATTATACCATCTTTATATCATTTCTTAGAAAAACTTCACTTTAACCCTTTCAAAAAAGTAAGCCGTAAAAATTTGGGTATTTCTTAAGTGACAATAAATTTTTTAAACCGCTAAAAAAAATCAAATCGTGATAATCATGAAACTGTACAAAAAACTAATCATCCAGTGAGATTCTACTGATTGTCGCTAAAATTGTTATTATTCTTATGCAATGGTGAGATATTTTCAAGGGCTGATCTACTGCAAAAAAAAGACAGGAGTTTTCATAAATGTACAAGTCACTGTTTGGTTCAAGTTTTCCCGGTTTGGTATGAATCTCGTTTTTTTTTTTTTTTTTTTAAGTATCCTCTACGTTAATTTTGATTGGGATGGGTCAATTGTTAAGATTTTAAACCTCTTTCAAATATAGTAAATGGGAAAAATATTTCTGTAATTATCGCAGATAAATTATTTGTATTTATTTTCAAAACGACGTAATTTTGGTATTAAAACTTAAAATCTTAAAAAATTATAAATATAAAAACTATTATAACCTTTAAATAAATTAAAAATACCATAATTTTCTTCCCAAAACGACGTCGTATTGAGTGTACTGCAGATAACTTATGTATAATAACTGCAGAAAAAATGAACGCATGTTAAAATTGGTATGAACTCGTTTGTTGTTCTTAATTTTTTCTTTTCCACGATAGCTTTTGTTTTTTTTGTTAATCAACACAATTGAAGAGCATTTATTAGTCTTTTTTTTTTATAACAATTTATTAGTCTTTTCGCACAGTCTGAATACGCGGCCCCGCAATAACGGGTTCAGTTGATCACATGATTTATGCAAATTAAATTAAGGGAAATCATTATCTCCTTTTACATGAGATAAGAACTTTTTCCTACACAAATTCATTTTCCGTGCCAATTAATTTTTCTTTTCTTTTTTAATTTAAAATATGGGACCCACATTTAATTTATCTCTACTTTTTTTTTCTCCTACTATCCTACAACATAAGAAAATATGCACCCTTAAATTAAAGGGTAACCATAGCTTATTTCATAGGTGATTGCTTTCTCCTGTTTCCCTTATATCTATAAATATGTATTTATATTTTTTTTATTTTAAAAGTTGACTCCACTTAAATTTGTCAGGACTGTAGACAAATTTTTTTTACTGTCGTTGAAGAAAAGTAACACTCTCAAATTAATAAACTATTATGTTAAAAATAATGGGAGGAATTATACTTATCATTACAAAAGTTTATTACACTTATAACTAACTTAATTATCCTTAAATTACAATTAAATCTAATGGCTCTCCATCAATTCTTGTAATCTTAATTTCCAATTTCTCCGTCTCGCAGTTCTCAACCCTCTGACACACAAAAATAATGAATATGTTTAATAAAGGTTATATTTATCTTATCATTCAACATGACATAACTCATTTTTTATACACACGTAACAAAAGTAAGTCCCATTTTTATTTATTTTTTTCTCCAATTATTTGTGAGTCCCTCTTATTATTTTGTTTCACCAACATAAGATACCTTATCTACATTAACATAATAAAAATATTTCTCATTTAATAATTTAGACTATCACCATTCACGAAGCGAAACCCTCTACCCCAAAGTTTTTTTTGTTTAAATAGAATATTATCATTTTGTTGAGGTTTTGTAATGCATAAGCCGTCGGAGGATTTCCTACGACTGCGACCAAGAAGATTAGCGGCCACTGTTACTACCCTTATAATAATAATAATAATAATTGCTTATAGTAAATGCACCACAAATCGTCATGATACTTTAATTCATAGATTTTTTTTTCGTGCGAATTAAGAATCGAAAACAGTTAAGGCAACCATCATATTATTATCAGAGGAAACATCCTTTTGGATCTTAATAAAAAATATGATTCTCACTTTTGAAATTAATTTTTTTAATCTCGAAGTCTCTGAAAAATTCAAAGTAAACTCGTTTAGTTGAAATTGTAGTTCTTCACAAATTCAAAAAAGACTCTAAAAGATAAAATGAGTCCATTTTACCACGAGACTAACTTTTTTTTAAGGGACTAAAGTGGGAGACCATATTTTTTTATTAGGAACCCAAAAAGATATTTACTCTTATTATTATTTTGAAATATTTCATCATTGAGTGAGATCAATTTTATCGTCAAATTACCCTAATTCATCCATTGATCCCTCAAAAAATGATCAGTAACCACCGGAATAAATTTGGACGGAGAAAGAAAAATGGTGGAGAAAGAATTGTCAGATCTAGATAGAATGTGAGAGATGATGGAGAGTTAAAATTATGATTATAAGGATTGATTGTGAGCCGTTAGATTCAATTATAATCTAAGGGTGATTAAGTTAGTTGTAAGGGTGATAAACTTTTGTGGTGATAAGTATAACCTTTTCAAAGAATAATTTACAAATTTTTATAAAATTTATACATTTATAACTAGAGCCGGCAAAAGCGGACTTGGCTCAGCGGGCCAACCCGCCCCGCCCGCTAAATGAGGCAAGACAGACTGAGTTTTTCAACCCATCTCAAAAGTGGGGCGGGGTCGGCTCAGTTTTTGACGGGTTGATGTCGGACATTGGTGGGCCGAGGCGAGTCAGTGTAAAATAGGCTCGGGCTGGCGGGCCAACCCGCCAAACAGGGTGAGGCGGGCTGAGTTTTTCATCCTACTTTCAAAAGTGAGGAGAGACGGACTGACTCATTTTTTGACGGGATGGGACGTTTTTGACGGGACCATCCCGCCCACTTTGTCACCTCTATCTATAACATTTAAAAGTCAACCAAAACAACTTTTAATAAAATAAAAAAAATACTTCTCTCATTTAATATAAGAAATTTTTTTGATAGAGTAACAAGAAATATAGAGTCCATGAGTTAAAGAAAAATTAAAAAAAAAAAAAAGAAATTACTTTTTTTTATATCCACTTGAATGAGATAATTATCTCTACAGTTAGCGAAAACAATTTCATAAAATAAATGGTTTTTGATGATTGGAATTTGTTTTCCAGCCTTCAGTTAGTTATAGTGCAGTTAAGTTGGGTTTCAAACTCACTACCGGCACACTTCACAGTTCACAGACTTCTTGGTGTTGAAATAAACAGTGATATGGAGCTGCAAACTTCCGTTGCACTAGTAATTGGTGCCACAGGTATGGCTGGGCTGAGCCTAGTGGAGGCCCTAAAGCAGCCCAATTGTCTCGGAGGCCCATGGAAAGTTTACGGCGCGGCTCGCCGGCCACCGCCGGAATGGTTCCCTTCTTCCATCGTCGACCAATTCATCACCTTCGACGCCGTTGACTCAGCCGACACACGTGCCAAGCTCTTCCCCATTGCCCACGAGGTCACCCACCTCTTCTGGCTCACCTTTCAGTTTCTTGAAAACGAAGAAGCCAACATCACCGTTAACAAAGCCATGCTACTCAACGTTCTCAACGTTCTAAAATCTTCACCGTCTTCCCGGCTCAACCACGTAACTGTCCAAACCGGCACCAAACACTACATGGGTCCAATTTCGGACCCGGTCCTGTCAACCCAACTCGTCTGCCACGAGCCACCATTTCACGAGAACATGCCACGACTTCCGTACCCGAATTTCTACTATTCGCTGGAGGATGTCGTTGCGTCCCACGCGCCATCTTTGACGTACTCAGTGCACCGCGCCTCCCTTATAATAGGCGGGTCTTCGAGGAGTTTGTATAACGCGCTGATGATACTGACGACTTACGCCGCAATTTGCCGCCACGTAGGACTGCCGTTTCGGTACCCGGGAACTAGGTACACGTGGGAACATTTCTGTGACATGACCGATGTGAGAGTGTTGGCGCAGCAGCACGTGTGGGCTGCGGTTACCCCAAAGCCTAAGAACCAGGCCTTCAATTGCACTAACGGTGACGTTTTTACTTGGAAGAGCGTGTGGAAGCTGCTGTGTGAAGTGTGCGACGTTGAGTTTGTGCCGTTCGATGAGAGCCAAGAGTTTGATTTGGTGGAGTTGATGCGTGACAAGGGTAGGGTTTGGGACCAGATTGTGGAGAAATATGGGCTTCACAAGACCAAATTGGAGGAGATTGCGGCCTATGAAGCAGTCCAAACAGTGCTACATTTTAAGTTTCAACATGTATCTAGTATGAACAAGAGTAGGGAATATGGGTTTTTTGGGTATTCTGATACCTTTGAGAGTATCAGGTTCTGGGTGGCGAAGCTGAGACAGATGAAACTCATACCCTCCTATGAACACTGAACTGCATATTTTCTGGATTGCATAGTTCTTTTGCTAAAAATAAAGGGACCTTTAATAAAACATAAGCGTCCGTTTGGTCAAAAAAAAAAAAAAACTCTGCTTCGTTTCTGTATTAAAATATAAACAAAATAAAGGATGCTTAAATTAGCACATGGCAAAATTTTCATTCTTCGTTGGCCAAGTGGTGGCAGTTTCTGCTTTCCCACAACTTTGGGCTTTTCTAGCTTTTTATCAGCACTTCTGTTTTTTTTTTTTTTAATATAAATTATCCAAGTCCCTCACTACCACCAAATCTAGTTCAAGCCCCTTACTATTACACCAAACTCAGTGACTTTTATTAGCACTTCCTGTTATATTGTTTACTAAGTGCATAAAAGCTACCCACTTGGCTTCGGTGGTTGTTTTAGCTTGTATTTTTAAGAAGTAAAACTCGTAATCGATGCTAACTATTTATCTTGTCGTCCTACATAAAATAAAGATGTATAAGCCTGAAGATTTTGCTAGCATGTACTGGAACGCCAGAAATTTAATTATTTTTTCCCAATAAATGGAACTGAAATTGACTTTATTGAACAGAAAATTATTCAAAGCATCCAGCAAAATTATAATGTTCATCAGATCACGAATATGATGAGATTTATAAAATTGATTGAGAAACTTCCTGTCGAGGCTTATTAAACATACTCTCCCAGCAAGAAACGTGAAGAAAAAAAAAAGTCAAATTGGTTAATTCTTAAAACAATAAAATGCTATCGTAAATTATTGAAGTGCTACTGTAATTAACTGACGAGATTTTCTCGGCCAGATGTACAAGCAGGTCTTCTTGGGGGAAGCTGCTGGTGCGGTGTTCTCTGTTAAAATAAACATGAAAAATAAAGTGTTTATATATCTTTTGATCCCTATATAGTATATATATGTGTGTGTGTGTGTGTGTGAGATATTGAACTACTAAAATTCTATATAACATCTTTACCTGTAGTTTTGGTCGCAAGGTCTCTACGGCTTCCGTAGTTTGCTGATTCACTGCAGCACCTTGCTGTTTAAGTTGATATCCACACATTTTAGTCATTGGAAAATGATCAGGTTTGTATGCATATACTGATATGGAAGAGAATAAAGCATTTTAGGTTGTATTTAGTATTTAGTATTTACTGCTTAATTTATTTGAATTGGAAGAATATCAAATGGCAGAATTTGTGTTTAATAAATGGTAAAATACCTTGCATAATGCCCAGTCAGCTGAATCAAAGAATGCCCGTTCATGATCCTTTTAAGTTTCAGTCCACAAAAGAAAATAAATAAATAAATAAATTGAAGCGTGACCAATTCAATTCGAACTTCCAAGTAGGAAAGTAAAACATAAATGTGTTTCTTGTATTGTAAAACAATCTTGATTTATAATATAGACTTACTTTAGATATCAAAGGCTTCTTTGGGACAAGTCCACGGTACTTCTTTCCCGCGGATGTTGGCTGGTATTAAATCAATTTCACAAAAAATATAATCCATATTTCAGCAACCAACAAGTAAAAATTTTGTTCCATTACACAAAAAATATAAATTATTGCATATCCGTAAGTGCAGTAAATGATATTCATTTTTAACATGATAATCAATCTTTGCCCAAGGGGAAGTGATTTCACACACAAGTCTAGGCAATTTTTTTTATTTTTATTTTTATATAAGGGGGGCTCTAGCCCAGAAACAAAAGAGAAAAACTAATCAGGGGCAGTGTCAAAAACTGCATCCCTATAATCCTTATCAAGTAAGGGGTATAACCCTGGAGGCGGAACCTGCCAAGCAAGTCTCCCATTAACAAGTCTAGGCACTTTTTGGTAAAATTATTTTCCCAACAAATTCATTAGAGACCCAATTAATATGTATCATTATCAACATGCTATTAATTATTGTAAACAACTGCAGCCGATTTTGATTCCTCCCCTCTTTCTATTTCCTTTTCCCATCGCAGCCGCCCCACCACGCAGCAATCATTACCATTGAGTCATTGACTAATGATAGAATGACATGATTAATTGTTGAGTTGTTAATATTTTTAGAGTTAGGAATATACTGAACAATGAACTAATTAAACAAGGCTATGTCAGTGTCAGTCAATTTTTTTATTCTAATGGCTTGAAGAGACTCAATTAAGCCGGTTCTAGTAATTGTATCCTATAAATGGATGATTCTTTCACTAACCATTTTTTTTCATTCCCAGCCTCGGAACATTCCTTACCACACTCCAACAAATAATTATTGGTACTCAATTATCTAATTTATTAATTACCAGTTACTGGCAAAGGAAGCTTATTGAGTGTTCCTAATTCACAGGCAGCATCACTAATATTTCACATTTCTAATGAGAAAAGCATACTCTTTTGATATTCTAAGACTCTTTTCATCATATTCGATCGCCTTTATTGATAGTGAATGAATAAGTTATTTAATAAAGTTAACATATAATTATATTTAATAATTTAAAAAATAAAAATATCAAAAAATATGTTAGTATGTCCCTGGACAATAAATTACATTTTATCTTTTGCAGAAAAAACGTAATGCAATCAAGTTTCTTACTTTCCAGTTTTTCATATATGCAATGTACTAACAAGACTGATATTATTATTTTTTGGGGGTACAATATTAATTTATTATTGGGAGGTGAATAAATGAAACTAAGACAGAAATGTTGAAGAGATATTTAGGTTACGGTACGTTTTGCTGGGTACCTGACAAAAACATAAGAAGGAGAATGAGGTTAGGTTAGGTACCTCAATAATGTTGTGGGCAGCGAAATTGTCTTCCCTGTTGCACTCTGCCATCTGGGTTTACCTGTTAAATAACATCAATTGATCACCCGTCATTAAGAGCTAATAAAAAATTGATCTTGTAAGACATGAATATTAATCCAAAAAAGATAATTAACCTTCAAATTGAGAGTACAAAGGGAAGAGGCAGGGACAGAAGCAAATAGAGAAAGAATCAGAGAGGGCGTGAGCAGAGAAGAGAAGAGAAGAGAAACAATGTACCCTCACAATCAAGGAAGGAATATATAGCAGGAAAGCATACCCAATTATAAAGATGGTGAGAATCCGCAAAAAAGTAGAAAAGGAACACAATGGAAGAAAGTTTGGGGATGAAAAGAAAAAGAGAATGAAGTAGAGGGGGATGAGTGAGAGGATTGGGTAAGATCGTGTACGTATCCACAATTACATATTTGCATTCATTCTAACGTCTATCCCCTCAATAGGTATAAATCTTAAAATTTGAAAAAAATTCATAATTCATAATTCAGATATATATATATATATATATATGTATGTATGTATAATTAATATAGATAAAAATAAAAAATATAAGTTAAAATAAAAAAAATTCTATAAAAATATAATATAATTCATTCAAAATAGTTTAATTTTAAAATGTAAAATAATAAAAATTAAAAATGGCAAGTATCATTCTTGAAAAAAAAAAGTTCAAGCCATTCTCATAGCAATGTTTTCTAATTTAATATATAGCAATAAAGATATAAAGATTTAAGAAAAATAAGAGCGAATAGTTAAAATTAAGTAAGAAAAAATTAATACAAAGAAATTATAATAATTATTTTAAGAGCATGAACACTTAAAATTTTTAGAAAATATTAACATGACAAAGTTTAAAAGTAATTAATAATCTAAGTGCTTTAAAAAAATGTTAAATAATGATAAAACATGTTAGGTATAGATAACTCAACGATTTAAATCAATTTTTTTTTTTTTTTGTGTCTTTCAAGTTTGTTGCTTGCCCGCTATTCCAGTAAGGAAGTGTTTGATTCAAGTTTTCTTAGAGGATGCTTAGGCATTATATATTAGGATTTTGTGATCCATGTTTGGTTCAAGTTTTTTAAGAATATTGGTAGCAAACCAACTTGCCTAGACTTTTAAAATTATTTGGAAAAAGTTATCTAATGCACTATGCCAAAATGCCACTTTGGAGATGGTATTGCAAGATGGATGGCTAAATGGAGAAGTAGGAAACAAAAACATGACAAAAATATCCTCTATAATTTGGAGGAGAGATGTAAACATTCAAAAATTAAAAGGGGTTAATTTGGTAATCTTACCTCATTTCTCCATCAATATTTTACCTTCAACCAAACATAGATTTATAAAATTCTACCCAATTTTTCCGATAAAATTTTTGCCAACCAAACAACTTTTTCTTAATTTTCCTATCAAACTTATTTTCCCACCATATCCCTAGTAATTATATTTCCCGAGTAAAAAATAATTATCCTTTACCAAATACCCCCTAAATATAAAGGGATGATAGAACGATGAATATTGGGTTTTTGACATGGCGAATTTCAAAAAAATCCACTTATTTAGTTTGCTAACCAAATATTTTATTGGATTAATGCAGGAAGACACGTTTCAGGTAAATACGCGTTAAGTCATGCACCTGACACAAGGGCATTTCTGACAAATTTGAACACGTATGTACCAGTACGTGTTTGAACAGTGCCTGAACACGTTTGTACCAAATACGTGTCTGAACACGTCTGTCCCAGATGCGTGTTCATGACAAGTCTGACCAGCACAATACCAAGATGTATCATTATTAGGCACGAGTTCCGTGGCATAGTCGCGTCACAATTAGAAACACGCATGTGTCAGGTGCCCGACTAAACGCGTAGCCATCTTAAACGCGTTTTTCTGCATTAAGTCGGTAACACATTTGGTCAACGAACTAAACATGTGTATTTTTTGTGAAATTCACATTTCTTAGGTCAAAAACCCATGAATATTTCAATGCTTAAGTCAGTATAAAATTGGGGGATTATTATATCTTTTATGTTATACGAATCAATTTTTCTTTCCGAATAAGAAAAATATAAATTACATAATATTAAAGAAAATAAGAGGTCGTTTTATTCAATAAATTTTAGTTTTTCCTTTTTTTAATATAAAATAATAATAATTCCTATAACATAACGGATATAAACCCCATAAAATTAAACAGAGGATAGAGGTATGCACAATTTATTTTGATTTTCTTGACTAAACTGAAAAAAATAATTCAGTTTAAAAAACTAAACTGATTTATTTTTACGAATCTGTTTTGTCAAATGGATTTTTTTTTTAAAAAAATATATATTTCATCCATTCATTATTTCGCGATTAGTCCGATTTGAGAAGAATCAGGATTAAGACTTTAAATCCTTCTCAAAAATGATACCGGGTATAAATGATATTAGAAATTTAATAAAAAATAAATAAATAAATAAAACTAAAATAAAATAAATAGAAAAATACTTAAGAAAAATAGAGAGAAAAAAGATATATAAATAAAAACAAAATTTAATCTGGTTTCATAAATGGTTTTTAAAAATCCAATTCAATTCATGTAAATCAATTCTTTTAGATACAATACAATTCAGTTCATAAAAAAATTCAAGTCTTTTATTATTTTGCACATTCCTATTAGAGGATACAATTACGGCAAGATCCATAGAGACCATATATCTATATCAACGCCAAGGAAATAACCCATTGTGTTAATTATGGGATCATCAGATCTTTTGAAAATTGTGTAAGATATTATATATGGAATAATTGTAAATAATTATCCTATATGATTTTAATAATATCACAATCATGTGAAGCCACGAATATTGAGAGAACAAAATTATATCTATTTGAACAAATATAAAAATTTGATTTTATTATATTAGAATAAATTGAATGAGTTGTAGTAACTTGTGTTCATCAACCAATCCAAAATCAAAAATCGATCCAATCTAAACCAGTTCAATATATTTTTTAATTTCAATTATTCAAGTATTTATTTTAAATTTGTTGTCACTTGAACCCTCTCTTAATATCTTATTTTCATGAAAGTTGTTGGCTTATCGATTGTTTTGAAGACCACAGAATGAGCATTAAGCAAACTGAAAGAGTGAAGCATGGAAGAGAAAAATGGGGACTTGCAATCTTGCTGTTTTGATGTTATGGATAGCAAACTACATTGTCTTAGTTTTTTATTGTCTATTATATTATTTTAACTCTTCGTAAATTTTAAGATTTATTTTAGTTTGAAGACTTCAAATTTTCAGTGATTTGTATCTTTATATTTTGATATAGCTAGTGATTTATATGACTGAAATTTTAGACTTTTTCAAAAAATCGAAAATCAATCCATTCCAAATGGATTAGATCGAATTTGAAAAAAATCTAAATTAAATGGATGATTAAATGATCAACGCGACGAAATTAGGTCCGATGATTTTTACTTCAAAATTGATCCAATCCAAACCGGGAACACCCCTAAGTGGGGGGCCTAATATACCATTTTAATTGGTTAAAAACCATTCATAAATGATCAAGTTTAACAATATTTTTATAAAAAAAAAATACATTTATAAAGAAAAAAATCCAAAAAAAATTAAAATATAACATATAGCCTTCTCAAAATACATGTAGCTTCTGTTATTGGGGTTAGTGCAAAAATATGTATTGTTGATTATGGTAATATCAGCGAAAACACAAAAATGCATAAAATATAATGCAATCACATAGAAAATCAGAATGTTATATGCAAGGCATAAGAAATTACAAGAAATAAAATATGAGCCCAGTATTGAATATTGTGTCCTTAAGGTAATTTTACCCCTTCAACGATGTCTAAAATTCATGGACAAATGCTTCTCAAAATAGAATGATTTACCTTTATTTTGACGGTGGCACAACTAGAAGAAACAATATTAGCGGACACAATGAACACTTGATCAATCGCAAACAAAGGCAATGTAAGAGTTTTGTAAGGAGTTAGAAAAACTTGTTATTTGAATTCACTAGACACTGGTATATATAGGAGATGAATGGTCACAAGCCCAAGAGGCACAACTATTCACAAACGAAGAGACGCGACTATTCGAAAATGAAGAGGTACGATTGTTCGCAAACGAAAAAACACAGTTGTTCGGAATAAAAAAATAACTCTTCCAACTTCTTATTCATAACCATTTATACAACAACTTCGCCTCCAATTATGTTTGGATTCCATATATCAACATGTATCCAATCATGAACACTTTATAAAATGGCTAGGTAATATGTTTTTGAGACCGTATGTCGGGGATTTCTCGTAAGGCAGTGATCGTAATTTTTTTTCTTCCCTTCAAGCAATTTTAAAAGGGGAAATGACATTAATGTTAAACAATGAATCGATTCAAATATTTTTAATTTTTCAGTATATGATAGTTTTATATAATTTTTCAATAATTCTTTATAATTCAAAAAATTTATAATTAGTATAATTCAAAAAATTAATACATAATTATAAATTGATCAATTCTAAAAGAGTATGTTTTTCTTATTAGAAATGTGAAATATTAGTGATGCTGCCGCCTGCCTGTGGCTGTGAATTAGGAAAACTCAATAAGCTTCCTTTGCCAGTAACTAGTGTCTAGTGCTTATTAATTAATAAATTTGATAATTGTATTTTTTTTTTCTCTCTTCATACGTTGTATGTTGACGTGAAAAATAAAAATAAAATATATAACTTTTATATTATAACTATGTATTACTTTTAGTATATAGTTATAAATTATTAAAAGGACATAAATTACATACTTTAAAAAGATATATTTTTAACCCTTTATTTATTTGCTTCTTTGCTTGAATATTCTTTTGGCACTCAAAGGGGCACAGTTTTGTTGACTGCTCAAAAGACAAGACAAGTTAAGTTAGCATTGGACCCAAACCCAAATCTTGTGTTTGCCTTCTCTTAAGACCCAAATTGTTGAGGTCACTTCATCCATGGCTCACAGTGACCTTATGTATGCTTGAGTTTTGTTATATTTTCTTGAAATAATTTTTCAATAACTCTCCTAATATTTTATTGAAATATAATAAATTTAAAATTATACTAATATTAAGAAAGTGTAAACAATATTTATATTTTATTTATTAAATAGTTAGAATGATTGATTAGATAGGGGAATTTACAGTTAACAAAATAATAATAATAGTTAGAATGAACCGAATGGAATATCTCAAAAAAAATTTTTTATAGAAGATTAGATCAATTTTTCTTATATGTTTCAGATGATTCCTTTTTATCTCCTTTAATTTTATTTTTTCTTCA